TTACCGCCTGCCAATAGCGACTAATTGCATCTTTCGAAGAAACATTTATTTACAGGCGCGGAAAAGGTTGATTTTCTTCAGGTGAAAAAGAAATGAAAGCTGACAGACTGCACTTGTAGCATCGTGCAGAATTTCAAAGTGGTCTTTGGCCACAACAAAAGTCATGTGCGATCCAAGTGCTGTCATGCTGCAGCGACAAAAGAGCGACTTTTGTATCATTGGCCAGATTTCGGCTTTTTTTTTTCCTTTCTCGTTGCCCATCTGCTGCTCTCATTTTTCGCACTTTGCACAGCTCTGTTCCTACATAGCTGTTTTGCTTTTTAAATTTTTTTTTTTTTTTTTTTTTTACGCCCAGTCAATGGCGGACCGAACAGCTTGTCATGTCTATATTGGTCTTCGCTCACCCTCTTTCTTTTCCCTTTTTTTTCCCTCCTCTTCCGTCATCTTGAGGCCTGTTTCCTCCTGTTGAGGAGCAGATGTGCTGAAGTGAGTCACGCAAATGCATGGAATCCAATATGTGGTCAGAGTGACAAGTTAGTCATATAGTTGTCATATTTTGGTTGTGTTATTTTTTTTTAAATGCTGTTTTCTCTTGGTTCTCCGGCTTCCTCCCACATTCCAAAAACATGCATGTGGATTGAAGAGTCTCATTCAAAGGTGTCCCGAGTCTGAACCTGGGGCAGTTTTTTTTTTTTTTTTTTTTTTTGAATGGCTCGCCACATTAACTCAAAATAAATTTAAACAAAAACCATAAAAATGATAATATCTGCAATATGACAAGATATCACAGTTTTTATTTTGAAAAATATTTAAATTTGTTGCATAACAACAACATAAAAATTGGACATACTGCACTTTGAAATGTTCAAGAATTTCAGACTGTTGGTTTAAAAAAAATGTTTCAAATGTTAAAAAAAAAAAGTGCCATTATTTCTAATTTAAAATGCTGAAAATGAGCAAACGTAACATAGGATTCATTTAACGGCTTGCTGCTGAGCCAATCGCTCGGCCCAGCTTTCATTGCCATGAAGAGTGGGCCTGCCTCATCTTACCGGTATCTTGCCAGTAAGTGTAAGCACCACAGTAAGCAAGACAACCAATATGAACTGATGGAAAACCAAATAAATAATGCGCACTTCCAAATTTGCATCATGATTTCGCATGTGATAGATGATTCCAATTTGTCTGTGCTTACACAGTCAATAAAGAGTCAAGATGACAGCGGTGCAAAGGACATTTGTCATGACTAATTCCATCCGCTGTGGATGGAGTGAGGTCATTTCTCCTCTCGCCATCCAATTTCAAATCCAATCTTGGGCCCTCTTACTCTCACTTAGTTTGACTTTTTAGGCTTTGTACGTGTCCTTGTGCCACTTTCTCCGTTCCATCGCAAGTGACATTTCGAAGCCGCGATAAGTCTGTTGAAGTAAACCCGAGCGTTATTCTGTATATAAAACTTCCTTACGAGAAAATTGGGAAAAACAATGGCTGCCATTTTTTTTTTCATCCACGTCTAAAATATGTTTAAGGACACACAAATCCATATTTAATTAAAATGTTGTTGTTGACCAGAGTTATTTTCTTGGCAGTCGATATCTTAATACCTACCGTATTTTCTGCACTATAAGGCATTCAATTTTCTCAAAAGCCGATAAGTGCGCCTTATAATCCGATGTGCCTTATATATGGATCAAAATTCTGATTTCTTGGACGCTTTGTTTCAGCTGCAGCGGTTGTAAAAAAGCTATCTAAAAAAATTGTATTGTATTCCCTTTAGCATAGCTCCATCTAGTGGATGCATCACGTAATCGCAGCCACTATTGTAGCTTCTATTCTATGCGCCTGAAAAGGCAGTGCGCCCGACATATGAAAACTGTTTCGACATTGGCCGTTCATTGAAGGTGCACCTTATACACCGGAGCACCTTATCGTGCGGAAAATACGGTACTTAAATCCAATTATCACCGTCCCATTTGTCTTAATTGCGAAAAAGTAAGATAGCCAACGGGCAGTGTTAAGAAATGCCCAATGGTAAAAATCTGCACATAATTGACACCCCTCACAAAAGTTTAGAATTGCCTCACAGCGGCCACAAGATGGCAGCAAAGCACTACTTTTCTGTTTGACAGCGCGACGGCCTGGCTCAGAGAAGCTCCTCGCCTCACTTCAATGTAGCTCTTGGCACCAAGATGCCACACAATGATGTCAAACATTACTTTTATATTACACAGGGGAGTTTTTCTGTGAATAAGAGTATTGGATGAAAAAAAAAATTATTTGCAAATCATGACCATGTGTTCTTCGCTACTGTATGACCTAGTTAAACAGTAAAAAACAAACAAACAGAATTGCAGAATTGATTCTTGAGAGGTTATCATTCAACTGACATCCAATGAGATTGTCTTGATTTCAATCTTTTTTTTTTTTTTTTATGTTGAGTGGAGGAGAGCGTCTACCTTTTTATTTTATGTGACCGCCCGGGGAGCTCGAGTCGTATTTGACAGGGGAGAGATTTCAGTGGCAGTCCCCGAGGACACGCTCGTTGCTATTCTCTTTCCAACTTCTGAGCATGCAGTTAACAGCCATTCTATGACAAACAAGGAATGCACAAATCAAAGGGGAGTCTCCTTGAAAAGGCCCCTTTCCTTGCAGTTGTTATGTGCGTGATGATGAAAGACAATTGTTTTGAGGATTAATTAAAAGGGTGTCCTCTACCTCACAGTACAGGATTATGCAACGTAATTGGTTAGTACTTGGAAGTGTGTGTCTGTGGAGTCGAATGTGTCGGATTTTTTTTTTTTTATATTTTATTTTTGCAATGCCTCAGAGTGAATGTTTCAGTTTCTGCCCACTGTTATCTCAAATGAATTAAATGAATTCGTGATCGACTTTAAACATTGCAGAATTCGTGTCATTTTTTTGAACGAATTAAAAAAAAAAAAAACACTTTTAACTCTTTCAGGGACAGCAGTTACTACAGTGGACAGCTTCTCAAGTTATCAGGTTAAAGGGTGCGTGAAAGGGTTCATTCATAATCAGGTGGGATTGAAGGATTTGTTAAATTACGGACATGAAAAACAACATGAATGGATGAATTACATTCGAAATAGTAAATTCAAAAATGGCATTGACTTATTATGAAACTATCTGTCACACAACTTATCTTTTAATGACCTGCAGAGGTCGTGGGTTCGAACCCGGCTCCGGCCTTCCTGTGCGGAGTTTGAATGTTCTCCCCGGGCTTGTGTGGGTTTTCTCCGGGTACTCCGGTTTCCATCCCACATTCCAAAAACATGCATGGCAGGTTCATGGAACACTCGAAATTGTCCCGAGGTGTGAGTGTGAGCGTGGATGGTTGTTTGTCTCTGTGTGCCCTGTGATTGGCTGGCAACCGGTTCAGGGGATAACGTGCTGTAGTAGTAATAAAGGTGAGGCAACACTGCACGCAAGGACATGCGACATGCTGTTGTAAATCGGATGTGAATAAGCAAAACGCGGTCACGGCATTGCCGCCGCTTGTCTCACCTGCCAATCACGTCACATGGCCCCAGTCAAGCGTTTGCGGCAGCAGGTGCCTCATGTAAAGCGCTTGTGTGCGCCACGGCTGTCAGTCACCCAACAAAAACCCGTCAGCGCTGTCCGGCCGGGTTAGGAAGATGAGGTATGGCGCACGTACACACCCGCCATCATTTGTCGCGACTATTTGCATGAGTGCACAGAATTGAGGATCGCACTGTCAAGGTTCATTAGAGCTGAAGACAATTGATTAGCAGCCTGCCAGGATTCCGACTGCCTTTTCTCACA